CTTACTGGACACAGCTTCTATACCAAAACTTAGGAAAATCTGAACTGCAAATCTTCTAATGTTGTCTACAGAATAGAATGTGATCTTTGTGGACTTGTTTAAGTTGGTGAAACAAAGGGATCACTTAATAAAAGAATATCAGGTCATAGATTTCAAATAAAAAATGGGGGTCAGCAGCTTTTATACAAGCATTTTAATTTACCTGATCATTCTATTTTGTCAATGAAAGTTAGAATTCTAGAAAAGATTTACCACCACACAAACAGTCCATCACTGAGTACACCTTTCCGTAGACAAAGAGAAGAATTTTGGATTAGAAAACTAAGGACATCCCTATGGATGTAATGATGATGTCGATAGTGTTGGAAATCTTTCCAGTCCACAGTGTAACAATGTAGATGTGCCAACAAAGGAATTGACGCAGTTAATATAACGCAGTACAGTTAAGGTGACAAATGGAAATATCGACGAATTTTTTATATATAGAAAATACATTCTTTACAAGGATGGGTGATTCTTTTTAGGACTTTACTATTATCGGACAAAATGTAATGTGGTTAAAAACTACATGTTGGGGACGATTAGATTTCTTATCTAGACTTGTGACGTAATGTGGCAGTCCCATGATTTTAGCAAATATACCAGCAGTATTGAGGTCATCTATAAATTTCAATATTGCAAAAGCATAACCATGTTAAAAATCTAAGTTTAATTTATAATTATTTTTAACACTCTTTGTAGTTTGTGAAAAGTACTGCGAACCTACATAGATTCTACTATATAATTGCTAAAATTACGTTTGTAAGACCGTGTGTTGAATATACTGCTGGTCACGTACATTAAATATAGATATAATTAATTCATTTGCAAGATTTCATCAGGTTCGCAGCACTTTTCAAATATCTTCATACCTCTTAAGTTTATGTGTAAAAGCTTGTCATAATTCATTAAGGATATGCCCTTGCAATATATCGATTTATTACGAGCCTTCTGTTACCCTTCAATGAATCTGCATACAAATATACGGCAGTATCGCTTGTCTAGGAAATGTACCGGAAGTATATGAATAAAATCATAAAATAGACATCGCGTCCAAGTTAATGGTCTCTTATATATCTGAAAATATATTTTTTTTAATTACAAAATACATTTTTCATTGTATAAAATATAACTTGATCCGCCTCTCACTGCATACAAACTGCGTCAAATTTTGCGATATGACGTCACATTGACAAGTGCATTGCGATCAGTGAATTGTTTATATATTGCTATGTGGGATTTAACCAACGACAAAAATACATGCAATAGTAAGTATTGATGTAGTTTAAAGCTATCCAACAGTTTAAAATAGCAAATAATTTCATTTTTTGGTAATTTGAAGAACATATATTTTTGTGTGATGTGATAGAAAGCGTTTCCCGTAAAAATTAGGCCCCTCCTCCTTATTGCAGCCTTAACTGTGCTGCGAAGTAATATTCTTAATCACAAAAGGGTCCAGTCTTGTATTCCACCATATTTCAAGTTAAAGACTACACCTTGTATTTCCTACAAATATACATCGACTATTGCTTCCAAACTTTTTAATTACAAGAAAACTTTACAGGGCTTGAATATCGATTATCTGAAACATAATCCTCCATCGTGTTCATGTTCTTCTTCACCCTATAACTATAGTCCTGCTAGACACATTATTACTGGTGACGTAAATATAGTTAATAATGAGAACCTTAGATCACTAATTTTAAAAGGTCCTAAATATAGGGAACCCCGATCCTTCAACTGGCGTCGGAATTTCATAAATATTATGGATTTTGTAGAGGATTACGCCTGGCGATGGGGCTGACATGAAAAAGAAGACCTTGACACTTTGTCAGAATGGATTAAATGTATCAGATGTATGTTAAAATCGCGTATTAAAAGATTGAGGGGCAATATGAGAACCATCTATCCTTCTGTATTCAATAATCCAGAAGTGAAAAAGAATTAGATAGATTACACGATCAGGACGTACTGGTCCCTGCTGACAAAGCAGGTAACAACATTGTCTTTGTTTGTAAGGCTCATTATATATTAAATGTATTTTAGAGGAACTTGGATTTAATTCTACAAGTGGTAATCCAACTTATACTCATAGTTCCCTTTCTAAGGCAGAAATTCTTCAAAATCATATGTCAGTTTTGAATATTTTTAATATTCCAAACAACTAAAATGAATTTGAATTACCATATTTATATTGGATTCCGAAACGTCATAAAAATCCTTACAAACAAAGATACATAGCGGGTTCCAGTAAATGTTCAACCAAGCCTCTATCTTTACTCCTCACTAAGATATTAACAGTGGTGAAGGAGAAACTTCAAGAGTACTGTGCAACAATATATTCGAAAAGTGGTGTAAATCAGAATGTGGATACTTAAAAATTCCCAAGAACTTTTGGAAAATTTGAAATCACAAGATTTTACCAAAATCAACAGCCTAAAAACTTACGACTTTTCAACTTTATAACAACCATTCCCCACGATAAATTAAAGTCCAGGCTTTTTGATATCATTGACAGCTGCTTTTTCAATAAAAATGGAACTCATAAATTAACTTACCTTGTCATTGGTCATTTGCAAAATTATTTTGTTAAAAAACATTCTGATTGTACACACAAGTACTCTGAAGTTGACATTAAAAAGATGCTTGAGTTTCTGATTGACAATATCTATGTGGTTTTTTGAAACCAGGTCTTCCAACAATCTATTGGAATTCCCATTGGTACCAATTGCGCCCCGTTATTAGCAGACTTTTTTTTGTATTCATATGAAGCAGACTTTGTCCAAAATCTTATACGTGAAAAGAAGAAAACACTTGCTGTGGCCATCAACTAGACATTTAGATATATCGACGACGTATTGTCAATTAACAATGGTTATTTCCATTCTTATGTTGATACGATATATCCCAGTGAGCTTGAGATAAAAGATACCAAAGAGTCTGACACATCTGTATCATATTTGGATATTTTCCTTGAAAAAGACGTTAATGGAAATCTAAAAACCAAGCTTTATGATGAACGTGATGACTTTAAATTTTCTATCGTCAACTTCCCTTACTTATGCAGCAATATACCTTCATCACCTGCATACGGGGTTTATATCTCTCAGTTGATTCGATACGCAAGAGCATGCTCTACGTATGTACAATTTCTAAAACGAGGTAAATCACTGACAAACAAGTTGATCAAACAAGAATATCAGCAGTTTCGTTTAAAGTCATCATTTCGTAAGTTCTATGGTCGATACAATGACCTTGTCAACAAATACAATTTATCATTGAGTCAAATGCTGACTGACGTTTTTCATACTAATTGTTAGGCCATTATATATACACACTGAATTGTCGACGGATTTTTCCGTTATTTCCCGATCATCACGGCGGGTGTGACTGGTCGGCAGGGGATGCTCACTCCTCCATGGCTGTTCTGTCCTTCGTACGAATTATTAAAGGTACGAGTTGTTAATACGAGTTGTTCTAGAAGCCATGAGGCTGACCCATTGTTTAGCTGTTAATTTTTTGGAAGATTAGGGAAATCACTGTGTAAGTAATTGAATACATTTGTAAATTTATTCTTTTATGTGTACTTCATTTGATGTGTAATGCATAGCTGCAGTCGTGAAATTAAATGATAGAAAATTATGATTTTTGGTAACCGCATGTGCACGAAGTACGGCACGCCATTGTTGTCATTACTATATCTAGGATAAACAACTTGTTATAAGTAGCATAATATTACTGAATATTTATACTGCTTTCTTTCACTTAGATGAAATGATATAAAGTAACTTGTAAGAATATAATTTTATGCATATAGTAGAATATAAGATAAATACATTGCTGTTTGAAACATTTTTTCTATGGAACGCCATAACAGTCATTATCGAAGTTGGTTAAGTCGTACACTTTTAGTATATGTTATATTGTGAACATTTTCTTATTAGTCCCTTTGTTTTCTTTGTAGTCCTTTACCACATGCCATCTTACATATTAGTCAATAAATTCATCAGTTTATATGGACTTGGAGTATTCTGTGTAGATGCGTGGTTATCTGACTGTCTGCTAATCACGAGACAGTACAATGGCACCTGATCCTACCTCTGATGTTTTGGAGGTCCGTGTTTGCCCTGCTCCTGTTTTGTATTGTTTAATGGACTTTTGAGCTTGAATACTGTTTGTTATCTCCATGTATTTCACTCTAACAACGCCACTATTTTCAGATTTTAAGTAATGAATGACGCTGAAAAATGACACATGACTCGCGTGTATATTCAATATGTCCATGGATATTGTACTAAAAACTGTTGACAGAACATCAAAAGAAACATACTAGGAATCTAAACATTGCTTTTTTTTCAAAATAATTCATCTGCACCGATATATACAAATACAGCAATATGGCAATTTTAGAGGTAATGGGCATTGGAAAAATAAACTTTGTAATGATTTCTACACCAACCTAGATGGTCAACTTTTTTGAAATTTCAGAGTTTGGTGACTTTTTACAATAATTTTCATGTACTTGGCTGAAAAAGTAATCTCTAGTGCAGAAATACAAAAAGTATGGAAATAAAGTGATAATTTGGCGCTTTTCCAACAAATTCCCATAGGGTCCAATAGAAAAATGTAACAACTTTTGAGATGGCCCCCAAAAAATCGGGACGGTAAACATTCGATTTTTTGAATCTTAAAACAATAAATATAACAGTAAAAATTAATTCAAGAAAATTCATCAAAATCTCTAGGGTAGAAATAATTAGACTCGGCTTCGTTAAAGTTGTAGCGACGTATTCCTCCAGTGTGAAGAGGGATTAAATAACGTTGAAGATCTTTTAAATGAGATGATTAAATTGAAATTTAAGTAGTATGTCATCCCTTGCTTCTGTTTCTAAAAAAGACCAGCTAATTAACTCTTTTTTCTTGAAAATGTTGTGTAAGTAGTAGTGAAAAAGAACACTAACCTTTGTATATCTTCTTGTGGTCAACATACTGTTGTAAATCTGAAGATTTGTGTTCGCGGACCTCGATATTTACAAACTGATATTTTATTACATCCTTCACTATGTGTCGGTCACTAGCGATTAATTCCCATTTAAGCGCAAAGTTTGTGTCTGTACTGATCTTAATATAATCCTTGTATGCAGTAGTATTGGTCCATTCACACAATAGATCCCCATTTTTAAACTTGGTCGATATTGTAAAAGTCTGTCCTAAAAATAAATTCATTATCAAAACTATAACTAACCATAATGCTCCTTTTATAAAACATAATATCAGAAAAAAGTCTAATAATAGCTTTATTGTAAATAAGACGTCCAAAAACAGAAGGGGGGTGGGTGGGTTGTATCTTATATTTTCAGTTATGTTATACACCTAAAGCGTTATAGTACATCATTAAATGTTAATCAAATTGACAAATTAATCAAAAAATGAAATGAATATTACAATATTCAGGAACGCAATGAAAACATTCTTTTTAAATTTGATATAATTTTTTTTCTATGTAAATCTTTCGACACTGATTTTGGGTCTCCCTTTTCTTCCCTAAACTTAAATTTCTCTTACATATTAAAAAGTAGAAAATTCATCTTTTGAAATATAATTAACGGTTTCCTGAAAATGCACAAAAAGGTTTCTTAATTTATGTTACACTAGGTCCGATGGGGAAGACATGTGATGGCGAAAAACATTTTTTTCTTCACAAAATATTCCTCTTCCAATTCCTATTATATTTAAACATGCATTCTCCTTCAGCATAAAAAAATCCGATTTTGATGAAATTTCCACCAAAGTTGCGTCTTAGTAAAAAACTAGCAAATATGGTGATGCAAGTTTAACATGTGCACGCCGGTTGCCATGGAGACGGATCCATGGAATTATTTCGTCTATCTGATCAATACATTCGGCTAACGGCGAATGTGACTAATCGTCAGAGAATGTCTACTCCTCCTAAGTACCTAATCATAATTATGAAATGTCTAGGGGTCCTTGCTTCTCTGCCTTGTTCAAATTTTTGTAAAGTTCGTAGGTTTTATGAGATCGATGACTTTTCGTTACCTTCACCTGTGTTACTTCTTGGAAATAAATTTTAAGATCCACAAAAAGGATTTTGAAATTAACCATTTGGTGTACTTGAAAAGATTAAAAAAAACATTTCAAGTATGCAGAAAATTGGTGAATCATATTTTATTTGAAGAAGATTGATTTAACTGTTATTAAACCATAAGAAAGAGCATAATGCTAAATTTGTGTGTTTCAGATATGAACATAGCAATGTGTATTAATATAAAGCGATTTTTGTAGATCAAGTATACCATGGTCAAATCCGAGAACATCCGCAGTGTAAACATTCACTGAACTGAACTTATTTTAATGGTCTATTGAATTGTTATCAAAAGGATGGAAAGAAATATGGAGATAACGAACAGTATTAAAATCCTTTGAAACAATATAAATCGGGAGCAGAGCAAAAACAGACCTCTTAAAAACATCAGAGATGGGATCAGGTGCGCCATGGAGGAGTGAGCATCCCCTGCCGACCGGTCACACCCATGTGTTCCTTGTCATGATCGGGACAAAACAGAAAAATCCGTAGACAATTCAGTGTGTAAATAATGGTCTAACAATTAATATGTATATATATATATATATATATATATATATATATATATATATATATATATATATATATATATATATATATATATATATATATATATATAAATGCTCAAAAGTCCAACCAAATATTACAGATTGAATGCAAAATGAACTTGAATCCCTTGAAAACATCGATAGAGGACTCACGACCGATGTGACAGATCAACAGGGAATGATACTTCTCCTAGGTATTTTCAGGGGTCAATGTTTATGCCCTGTTTACAGATTTGTATTGATTGAAGATTTTATGAGATCGATCACTGTTCGTCATCTTACCACTTTTTCATTGTATATTACTGAATAAATAATGGAAGTTAAAAATAGAAAAGTAGAAGACAAACTATAATATCATTTAAAAGTATTTTCCTTTTTTTCTGCCTATAAAAATGTTACTTCTCAGAAAAAAGAATACCAAATGAAAATGATGAGAGGTCCAAGTGTCCACCTGGTGTTTAAGTATTTGGATTTTATTAATGAGTCTGTGGGAGTGCATTGTAATTTTGAAGGTAAGTATACATCCAAATGTTACGTAATTTTTCTTTATCTACCGAATCAATAAGCAAGAAACAAAGAAGATAACCGTATTTTTCTTATAAATTAGATTTTACGTATTTTACTTACTATAGTAATTTTTTTCTATAAAAACAGACAAGCTTATGGATGAGTTTGTTTGGAATTTTTTCTTTAATTATTGTATAAGGCAACAGGCTATCTCCGGTTCTTTGAAGGTTTCAGTTTTGTCTAGATTTTCTCAAATTTAGTTTGATATGATGTTGATAGAATAAATATTGGTATTTATTTTACCCTGATAAATTAGCACAATTGATTTCTTATGTCTTAGGAAAATATGTAATATACAAGTCAAATACCGTTTCCTTAAGAGGATTTTATTCTTTTAATTATATATCTGAATTTGTTATGTGTTGGACCAAATTTTCAGGCAATAATGTTTGTTCTTTGCAATCACTCATATAAGAAGCATTTATAAACAAATGCATTTGCAAGTGCAATTATCTTTACACTCCGTAAAAACATAAATTTCTCTCACCTTCTACAATGCAAAAAATCTCAAATAATGCTAGACACAGATTAATGTATTCAACCATCTTTCACTTTGTTAGCCAAATCACGTAAATGTGTTTCTCACTTTTAGTCCCACATAGCTCAGGTAAGTTTCAAGCCACGTTTTGTAAACGCTGTTCTCAAAGCGTCTGTGCTTTGGAATTTTAAAGCAACAGTTTTCCTTCCTCCTGTTCCGCTTTCATTGTATATATTAGTACTTTCATGAGGAAGAAAATTAAGGAAAATAATTTTTTTTAAATATTTTCGTTATATATATATATATATATATATATATATATATATATATATATATATATATATATATATATATATATATATATATATATATATAAGGTACTCACATAGGTTAGTGTTTTCTAAGACCTGAGAGCTGATAAAATTGAACATGACTTGATTTGAGATATTTTTTGTATTTTATAATGGTTTACCAATCTACAGAAAAAATAATTTTGTGACTAATTATTTGGAAAAAAAACCTTGTTGTACTAGAAAGTGCATTTGAACTCAAAAGTTCATTCAACATCAATGAGGACTTTAAAATGACCTTAAAAAATAAGGATAAGATATAGTTCGTTCATATTGTTGAAAAAACATGTCTTTCTTTTATACCTTTTCATTTCTGTCATTCTGACGAAAGTTTTTAACTATTGTTTGCATTTTCTCGCAACACAACAAATTAACACCCATTTTTGTTTCAAATTATAATGCAATGATGAAATATATGGAAATAACGAACATTATTCAAGCTCCAAAGTCCAATAAACAATACAAATCAGGAGCAGAGCAAACACGGACCTCTAAAACATCAGAGGTGGGATCAGGAACCATGGAGGAATTCCTTGTCAATATCGGGACATAACGGAAAAATCCGTCGACAATTTAGTCTGCAAATAATGGCCTAACAAATAATATGAAAAACGTCAGTCAGCATTTTGATTTAATGATAGATTCTATTTGCTGATAAGGTCAAAATATCGGCCATAGAACTTACGAAATGATTTTAAACGACCGCTGATATTCTTGTTTCATCAAATTGTTTGTCAATAACCTACCTCTTTTTAGAAATGTGTCAGAGGCTCTTGTGAAGGGGGGGGGGGGCTCTATTGATTATATTATGAAAATGCATAATTTCTTTCAAAATATTTTTTCTACTACTGGTCATAAAGCAAAGAAACAAGTATATAGATATGATGAGCAAGGGTGTTTCTTCCAGAATTGTGAGTTCATGGCCCCTGGGTCAGATGTTCTGGTGTAAGGTTGGAGCTTTATTTATTTAATAAATAATGTTAAATAGTGAAAATGCATTTCTTTGAAAATCTTCTATGCTTCTAGGCATATTCGAGGCAAACAGAGATAAAATTTTAATATGCAAAGGTATTTTTACCAGAATTTTGAACATCTGGACCATTTAGTCAAGTGTTCTGGTCCTGATTAGGGCTCTATTAACTTGTATTCTGCTGACGAAGTTATTCTCCTTTGCCATTCACCTTTGATAATTAATCACTGTAAACAATGTATTTGAAAGGTTAATAGAATACGAGAATTATGCAAGAAAATTTATCGTATAATACAAAAAGTACATTCATAGTTTTAATGATCAGGTAGACTTGGAAATAATAGATGAATAAAAATGAGACAAAAATAACTTATCTTTTTAAATGTTTTTCAGAGGCCAAGAGAGGCCAATGTGAGAAGTAATAATATGGGGTTAAAAAATTAACATTTTGTTAATAGTCTGCATGGTAATAGTGATAAATGGGGGACAGATAGATACTAGACCAATTATTTTGAACAAGATGCTAATCATACTATTTTTCTTGCTTTTGGGCAACAAAGCTTCATATATCAGTTTATGGATCCTCTAAATTGTATTGTACTCAGATGACCGCTAAGGCCCTTGGGCCTCTTAGTTAATTAAGTAATTGCAATATATACAACAGCAAACATATGGATGATGCATGATAATCATTGCTTTTGTATGTGTTCATTTAGATTCAGTGGATAAATAACCCTTGTGCAACACATACAATGCATCATTTGTTCCTGTTTTGTAGCTTTATTAACTGAGATACAAAGAAGTTCCTGGTTGCTTCAGGGCTGTGTAATTTTCACTCAGTATTACAGAGGATTTTGAATTTCGTCATCACTTTAGTTGAGTGTGTATTATAAGTAGATCTTATGAAGTACATGCTACGATTACATTTCTTGAGATTTGAAGAGAACACAAATTGTCACACTTTCAAGCAGGCCATCGTTTTAATCCCTAAAACTTTTTTTTTTAATTAGACACGTATTTTCATCTTGCCCATTGATTATATTGTACATTTTGACTTTTTGCTATTAGTAGCGTAAACAATAGTTTATTAATTTAAAGAGTAGATAACTCTCTACAATGTCATTCCTTAAAATATGTTCCATCTTCATCAGCGATTTGTTACAAATTTTGGCCCATATTGTATGCTGAATTTCATTTTTTTTTTTTATCTTCTTGTACATGTCCTTTAGTTGAAAACTGTCTTTGTCCCATTTTTTCATCTCCTTACAATCTGCATATCACTTATAAATAAATAGAAAACTTACCTAAAAAGCTACAATTTAGTTAGCTTGGGTTGTTTTACCGTAAATGACTTACTGAAATTAAACAAAGATAACTTTTTGTGGTTCATTTTTCTGCTTAAATTCTGGTCATAATAGATATCTTTATTTTCTCTTTTAAAACATATAGCAGTTTTATATCTTTGCACGTGAATTCAAAATGAGTGAGTTTGAAATTGCTGACTATAAAAGCTTGTTTGTAAATGATGTTTTTTAAATATCTGTATTTGTCATGCTACATAAAATTCTGTAATAAACCTGCAATAAAGGCTTAAAATGACGTGGGTATTATTATGATTATGGATTCAAAGTATAGATGTACATTAGTATCTATAAGAGTTGCCAGCGTGGCACAGTGGTGAGAGAGTTTATCCTTACGTTAGAGTCGCGGAGTAAGGAGTTATCCTTACATTGCGGGTTGGAATCCCACTGCGGGACATGAAGACTGGTCCTTCGGATTAGACCGTACAAACCCAGGTCCCGTGTCGCAGTAGTTGCTGGTACGAAAAAGGACCCTAACTGCTCGATGGCCCTGAGTACCGAGTATAGGTCAAAATTTGCAGCCCTTTGTCGGCATGTGGTGTCGTCTCAATATGAGTGAAAAATTCTCGAAAGGGATGTTAAAGAAAACAAACAAAAAGTACTTATAAGAGGCATATGCATTCACCATTTTCAAAGTTCAAGAGGCAGTTCTATGAACATTTTGCACATTTTTTTTGACAGCTTATATTATAAACTAAATCAGATGAAGTTCCTCATTGCTTTACGGTTTTCTCATTAGATCTAGATAAACATCCACTACGCGTACAGGACTTACATGTACATACAGTGTAGACGGAGGAGTATACTTATCATTTGAAAAAAACACAATTGTCCCTCTTACAAGCATATTATTATTAAAGTCGTCACGAGTTTTGATTTGCTACACATTTTCGCTTCGATATGTGCACTTTAGGAATACTTAAGATGTATTGAAAACATCTTACTGAGGTAACAGAAAATGAAAACAAGCTTAAAGTTACGAAAAAATGGGCAAATAAGTAATGCATTGAAAGGAGAGGATGGAGTAAGCCTTTGTGTCTTCTCTCAAAAAGCACAACGTATATCCAGTTGAGGAAAACTGCATGGTCAGCCAAAACAACCCTTTTATCAGGTGGAACGTTTCAATTATTTGCCAACATCACAGAGCTGCTAAAAAGATTGATTGATTGATGGTAATTGTTGAACGCCGAGTCGTCAATATATCGTCAATATTTCAGTCAATACCGCCGAAATATGTAAAAATATATATATTTCAAGTGAACAAGAACTTGAATATTAAAATACTTGTGAGTTCAGAGAAATAAGACCGAATTGAGCTTTAATATGTAATAGTAAATAATACCAATGGGTTCAGATCTTTATATTTCTATGTAAACTTGTATATCTTTTTTGTCTTTAGGTCATCATTAAAAAGTTTTTGTTTGATGTACTCCGATCCACATTTTACATGGTAGGTAGGTTGGAAGTTTTTTTTTCTTACAAATTTATGATCCTCATAAAAAAAATGAAAATTTATTGATGGATGGTTGCACTAAACACAGGGCAACTAAGACTAAATATTTATTGCTATAAAACATGCAATCTAAAGCGTCATAAAAAATGTTAAAACTTAATTTTTAAAATGATATTCTTCATTAATTTTCTCAAAAAATAAAATCTAAAGTATTGAAAAAAGTGAATGGGTATGGGGGATATTGACAGATCGGTCAGAGTACATCAAACAAATCCTTTTTTATTGTTGGCCTTATCTAGACTTGGTGAACTCTGAGTTAGGGACCAGGCAAAATTTATTACAATGATGGGACCCGTACAAAACAAAATTTTCATTAAAAAAATATGTGTCCCATGGCATTTGTATTTAAAAAAAATATCTGTCCCATGGTTCCATCTTGATGTTAGTGAGATTATTTAAACAAAAATAACAAAAGTACAATGTTAACAATTAGGAGTCTTTCAGATTACAGATACATGTATTTCAAACATCGATGAAAATTTTTTGTTTGTTCATATTCATAACTCTTATTAACATTGTTTGTTACCTTCTTATTTTTTTCCATTAATTTGAAGATTTATGGTGCCATTTGTATCCTTCATTTGACTTAAATTATATGACTTTTTAAAAGATTTTTTTTTTGAAAAAATAATAACTTTATATATAATGAATACTTTTCTTGAGTTAAGTAACTCATTAAAAAAGATTGTGTCCCATGGGTACTTAATGCTAAAAGTATTTTTGTCCCATGGTTTGTTCCATGTGATATAAAAAGGAATTTTATTAATATTGTCATCCTCTTAGAAGTTAAATTTGACATGCACTATTCATTTAGAACAAGTAGACAATAGTCCTTTTATATATATAAAAACAGAACTCATTTCCCTTTTTGGCAGTTAATTTTATAAAATAATTTAGAAGAAGTTCCTCATTTTTTAAGGGGTTTGTTATAAGATCTAGGTAGATAAACATCCACTAGGAGTAAATGCTGCAGC